CCCCCTGCCTTTGTCGTTATGTACCATTACGCGACCACATCAATTAAAATTCAGGCTGTGTCGCAAATTCGGGAATAGAGAAAAACTGCCTTCAACTTCAATGGACAGGGAAGGGTTCACAGTTCGATGTGATCCTGCCTGGAGCGAACGTGTAGGCCCTACCCTCCCAGCGCGTGAAGTAAGTTCAGGTGGCCAGCTCAGATGCGAGTGCGATGTTTGGGGAAAAGAAACGCATTGGTCAGTTCACACCTCGGTGTGATCCGGCCTGAGGATCATTGTACCGTTTCATGGAGTTTTACAACACTTATGATCACATACACGACAGTGGCTGATCTTTGACGCGACGGGCAGTTCTTTGATCTCAACTTTAAACTCATGGTTGATCGGCTGTGCCCGCCCGGGTGTTTGTTCCGTAAATTATTATCAGAAATGCCAGCACTTACTCTTTCATTAAGCTTCAAAAGTACTCAAAATGTACTTTCAAAATACTCAAAAGTACTTTTATAAAAAGTATCGGAGTACAGTAAAAGTACTGGTTCTCAAAATGTACCGGAGTACAGTAAAAGTACCGAAAATTGTAACGTAAGTACAAGTACCAGAGTACTTGTACTCCGTTACTTCTAGCTCTGTGTGTGTGTGTGTGTGTCTGATGGGGGAGGGGGGGTGTTGTTCCCCTATTTCTTATCATCATCCCACATGAACATGATTATGCCATCAACTAGGGCACGACTACCATACGACGTGGAAGTGGGACTGCCTTTGTGATGAACATGGGCAAAACACAAAGATGCCCTTCAACGACTTGTTCTCGAAACTTGAGGCCCCACCAAGTGAGTGGAGTTTTCAAGGTTGTGACTGCTGCGCACGTGGTGTTTGATGACACAGAAGCTGGAAATACGACGGTAGACTTCTTCTTAGATGACGAGAGGGAAACAGGTACTTTATAAAATTATTTTCCCATGGAAGTTTGGTGTATGAATACTCATTCCTTTCAAGGACTCTTATCACTTTCGAAAAAAAATCTTAAAAAAAAAAAAAAAAAAATGATCCTGTGATTGTAGTACAGAAAATGCTTGTAGCTCTGCTTTGCGAAGATCTGCCTCTAAATTAATCAAGACTTTTTGAATTGAGAACACTCAGACAGTTACCTTGGTCCAATCCATTACTAATGTGACATTGATATAGCAGAAGTACCTACTTTTTGTCTATGAAGTTTCTTGTGCATCACTACCAGCAAATAAATTTCACTCTTTACATCTTTGGGAGTGTGTGTGAAAACAATTGGTCGCTTTTAAGAACAAGCGGGCTAGCCCAGATTTCGGGGGGTTCCAGAAATCTTGACCTTCACCAAAAGTGGGCATTGCTCTACCTATAGGAGAAGTTTGGGTTCATTGGTGTGTATATTTGTTTGGTTATAAGGAAAATTCTCTTTGTATTTCAAAGAAACTAAACAAGGCAAAAACTTTACCTTCGATTTTCTCAAAACAGCATTTTTTCGGATAGCCCCCTTGTGCTTAAAAGCGACCAATTTCCAAGAAGATAGTTTTCAAACTTTTAAAAAGCTTAAAATTATTAATTTTTGCTTGCTATTGATCTCTGTGCATAACAAAATGTTGCTTAATAAATAGCATAACGTGCTGCTAGAGCCATTTGCAAAGCTTCTGATTCAGTAATTAGTAATTGATCACATAAGTTGGTCGTGTATTTCTGACTGGTCAGCCATAACATGCGGTGTATTCTTGTATATGCTGTTTTTTCCTTCAACCACCATCTGTCCAACAAACATTTGTGCCCCTGAACCTGATCAAAGCCTTAAAGCCCACATATTAATTTGTCATTAATTACTTTTATTATACATTTTGTGTTCAAAGACACTATTGATCATCGTAGGAAGATTTTTAAATCTTCTTTTTGGCTGAGACAAAAATGATTCAACTATATTCATAATTATACCACAATGGACTATTAAAATCTTGAGGATGTTGTCTGGGATCTTCGTGGGATTTGACTCTTTTTTTAATATGATAGTAAGTGTGATGCCACAAGTACAAGGTATGGGGCTTGTGAGAACGTTTTGGTACATAATATCGGGGTGTACAGCTGTAAAACTCTGTTGATGCTTTGAACAGTTAGAATCATTCTTCTTTCTCTCTCTTTTTTTCTTCTCATGAAGTCATGCGTATTTTTTGGACACTTCTCTTCTTTCAAAATTTATTGGGTCGATACAAGGTCTTTCTCTGCTATCCTGATGGCCTTTAATGTCCTTACGGTTCTAATTTGTGGGGGGTTTTTTCTTTGTTAGTCCAAGGACCCCACACTTTACAAGGTGCAGGTAGGGATAGTGTTAATGACACTATTGAAGGAGCTACATCTACAATATCTAGAAGAGTATCTACTCACCACCTGCATTCTGTAACCGTATTCCATATTAATGATAGAAGAGACAAATGTTTCCCGAAATCTGAATACGTTTGTTTAAATTATTGTGGTTTCAATATTATTCTACTTACACGATATCTAGAGCTTCCAAATTGATTTGTGATCTTTACAATATATACTCACACAGCATTCTGATCTCTTTCTCCAGGCAATGTCGTCATTGCGCAAGGTGTCAAGATCACATCTGTTGATGTAGAGAACAACCGATCTGTCATGGAGTGCATTACACATGACTTGCAGCTCTATGACAAGTTACAGCACTTTCGAGAACGCAAAGACAGACTACTTTCTGAGATCCCAACCAAACAATCTCTGCCCAGTACAGCAAATGCTGGTGCTGATGCTGTTTCGACGGGTCTAGCCGTTTCCACGGATAATTATTTGACTATACTCATATCACACCCTCATGGTGGAACGAAGCATATAAGTTTCGGAGAACTTCAAAAGGTCACTCGGTCGGGTTCAAGTGTCAATGTGAAGGACATGCCTCCTTTGGTACGCTGTACAATGAACTACTCAACACCCACCTGTCCAGGGTCTGGGGGAGGGACTGTCAATGTGTTCAACAAGTTGGGACAATGCGTTGCTTTTGCACCTCACTTTGGTGTATCGGAGAGTGGAACTAATAAGAGTGGAGCAGGCTGGATTAGAGAATCGGAGCTGACTTCTGCAACTTCTTTGAAAAAGTGAAGTTTTTCTCGGAGATAACAACTTCACCTATACTGTTTTCCTTGTGCCCCAATGGGGACCAGTGGCTGTGCATTTGAAAAAGAATATAACTTGAATATTAGGACAAGCTTCAGACAGGAAAAAAAAAGATGAGACAGGCAAGCAGGCAGAGAGAAAAGGGGGGTGGTGGTGGTGTCTGCGGTGTAGCAGTGAGATGCTTCGTTGTCACATCTGAGTTTAATTTTGAAATGGGGAGAAATTTTATATAGAGTATCTTTCTGCTTGGGTGTTGTATCCCTCTCAGCCTGGGCTGGCCCTGACAGGCAGGTTCGGAGCCTCTTGCATAATCTAAATTGTATTGATGGGGGCATAAAAATACTTATATTTTAAAAGAAAAATTAGGGAAAGGGAATGGAAGGGGGGGGGGGGCAGAAAGTTAGAGAAAGAAGGAAAAACAGAGGGAGGGAAAAAGAATGGAGTTAGGGTGAGACCACACTATAAGAGAGAGAGAGAGCAGGGCTGAGCAGGAATGAAAACAAATATAACAGGTATTTCTGTTTAAATGGCCATACCATAAGCAGTTCCCTCATGAGTTCTTGCTAGCTTTGAGTGAGACTATACTTCACTATGTTTCTTCATGCTTCCTACTCGGCCTGGCTCATTTTAAGACTTGCCCCCACATTTCAGTGTTTGTAGATTTAATCCCCCAGCTGTCAAGACCTCTCTATGTGCTCCATGTGAGTCTAAAAAATTACTCACTCTGTCTCTTGAATAATGTTTCTGACCCATGGGCCAGTCATCTCACCAGTTTGCACCTCAGCTGTTTTTGCTAGCTTGCGGCTTATTTCCCGCTTGAGAAAAGCAGCTCATAGGAATAGTATGGCCACCCCCAAGTTCACACTAGCTTCAGCTCTCGCTTTTTATGTGGCCTCACCCTTAGGGGAAAGAGAGAGATGACTAGGAGGGTTATGAGCATGGTTCTGTATTTGAATAGAGTATTACTTTTTTTTCAATTTTGTTTCGTGTGAGCACGATGAAAGTGAACATCATTGTTACCGACTAATACTAATTAAGAAAAATTCACAAAGGGAATAGATTTTCAGGTCCCAATTTTTTTCTAATATATTTTGCTTTGCATTCGAAACATCCTCATAGGTAAAACAAATTTTACTTTGCGAAAGAAAAAAATATCAGCAAGGATAGATCTAATTAAAACGACTGAATGTTTTGTTTGCGGAAGTGGCCACAGAGAGAGAAAGAGAGAGAGACAGAGACAAAGAGAGAGACAGAGAGGGAGGGTGTGGGCATATTATGAGTAAAGGCCAGTGACCACTTTAAAAGTCGAAGCCAATAAAATTGACAAAAGATGAGTTCGTTTCAATCGTTACACAAGTGTCTAGTGGTAGATCTAGCCAGCACACTTCATTTCCGTTTTGAGAGTTTGTGGTCACATGGAGGCTCGTACATTGTACATGTCAGCATATATATATATATATGTATCAGTGCACTGCAACGGAGATTGCACAATACGCTATAGCGTGCCAGCATTCTGCAAAGTGAGGTTTAGGTGAAGTTGCAGTGGAGAACAGAGCATAATAAGCTGATAGATTTCTCTGTCTAGAAAAAACAGCTGATCCGAGCAGAGATGGAGAAAATCAATGTGAAAAACTCGAAACTGTATTATTATTGAGACAACTGTGAACTTATCAGGCAGGTTGACATGGCAGAGGGGGCATAATCACAAAAAAAATATACCTACCCCAATTAATTGACCAACCATCTCCCTTGATATAGCCTGAAATTTGTATAAACTTCAATAGCAAAATGTTGACATGACGAGAAGATTCTTGCGTCCAGCCGAATTCGCTGTGTGCATGCAAGACTCAAATAGTTTTTATTATTATTGCTATTATTTGCTCGTAATCATGACGTTGCGTGTTCAGGGGTTCGAGCCACGGGCCCGATGTTGTGTCCTTGGGAAAGGCACTTTACACGAATTTTCCTCACTTCCCCCAGGTGAGAATGGGTACCCGGCCATAGACAGCGAAAGATCTTGTCAGTATACTATGTTAATGTTTTAGCGCCTATAAATTATAAATGGCTGCTTGCACTGTATGCTTCCCAGGAAGTTTAGGTTGTTTCAGAATGCTAGGGGGCTATCCCGAAAAATGCTGTTTTGAGAAAATCAAAGGTAAAGTTTTTGGACCCTTGTTCAGTTTCTTTAAAAGACAAGGAGAGTTTTCTCTATAACCAAACAAATATATACACACCAATGAAACCAAAACTTCTCCCGTGGGTAGGGCAATGCCCACTTTTGGTGTAGTGTAGGTCAAGATTTCTGGAAACCCCCGAAATCTGGGTTATCCCGCTTGTCCTTAAAAGCAACCAAATTAGCGAGAGTCATGGTTTCCCAAGGCAGTAGTGTTCTTGGAAACTGTAAATGTAAATTAAATTTATATTCTTTGTGTCTTTCATCAGCGATTTTCAGTAAAATCCACACAGATATTTGGTGTTTTTAAATGGACATTAAAAATATGAAAAAGTACTGGTTTCTTCAATTCATTATTTTGACAAGCGCCTGATTTCACCATGATGACTCACAAAAATATAACAGGAACATGGAAAGCACGAAAACATGGATATCTTGTACAAACCATTCTCTGTCTGATATCTAATCTCTTTAATTTTTTATTTTCATTTGACCTGAATTATGGACACATCGAACACATCAATCCCACAAGTGTTTGACTTATTCGTGCCCAACTGTATTACAAAAGTTCTTATGATAATTATTGTTATTTCCATCATCATCATCATCTTCATCATCATCATCATCATCATCATCATCACCACCATCAATGTACCAATGATTATAGAGAAGATTTTGTTTTGTTTTTGTAAAGTGTTTTACAGAGCTCGCAACTGCATAAGGTCATATGAGCGCGCGGGACACACCTAATATTTTCAGTTGGTAGGAAATTTAGAATTTTGCCCGGGTGGCGGCCGAAGCCTACTCTTATCGATTTTAGACTACCAAGGGATCTTTAACGTGCGCAACTTGCACACAGGCCTTGCGAGATTTTTCGCCCTTGTCCGAGAAGGCTAAGTGTAGATCTTTCCTACCAGAAGATCAGGGGTGTGGCAGAAAGACAGCAGTAAGGAGGAGCCAAGGAGTAGCAGTAGAAAGGCTGCAGAAAGAGTCAGGAGCCCAGAGGAGGGGGCAAAGGAGGTGAGGGGTTGGGGCAGAAAGTGGAAATGAAAGCAGACAACAGAACATTGCTAGAGAGCAAGGAAGGAGGTGAAAGGAAACAATTTTAGAGAAGAAAATTTTTTGGTCGCTACCCGGATTCGAATCCGGGACCTTTGAATGAGAGGCCAACACCTTAACCTCTAGGCCACGAGAGTCCCTATAGAGAAGGTTACTAATGATGGACGTCATGACACACACACACACTCAAACACACACACACCCGCTCGCACGCTGGCTCACACACACACTCACACACACAGATGCATGTATTCCGCATGCGCACACATTCAACATAGACATGTATGCACACGTACGTGGTTGGTTGGTTGGTGTGGTTTGCACCTTCTTTCCTATCAAACATTTATCGTTCTTTTCTCTCCTTTTTTTTGTGTATGTTACTCTCTTGTAACACATCGATTCTTCGACACTTATATGACCTTATTGTGTTGCAAGTGCCGTAAAACTTACGAAAAAAAAGTACACCCGCTTACACTTACACACCCTCACAGTGGGTGGTTGACAAGTGCTCTGGTTTGGTGCTCCTTTTTTCATTTCAAACATCTCTCGTTCTCATTCTTATTTTTCATTTAGTTTGTTCTTTGTGTTAAGGTACAAACACAGTGGATCAGCCTTTCACTTTCACCCCTTTTCGCCCCCCCCCCCCAAATGTGAGGAAAGGGAGTCGAAAGGGAAGCGACAGAGTGGATTCACCCTCCTCCCCTCATCCGTTTCTTAGCTCTGTGAAGCTGGTGTTGCTGCATTAGTTAAAACGACGATGTCAAATTTCACGTTGATATTGGGTTCATAGAATCAATAAACTCGGAGAAACATTTACTTTTTGCAAATATCATCATTTAGTGGATAATGTTCTTACGACGGTTGAAATGACGGTTTAAAAAAAATCTTATATGAACATGACAGCTGGTACATTCCGGCTTCTCCTTGATAAGATTGGACCTGACGTAAAACAAAAGTAACAAATTTTCTAAAATGATTCCAGACGACACCCAACAATACCACACTATGTAGGCTACACAGTGGGAACGAGCGAGATGAATAAAGGTGAATGAAATCTAAGGGCAGACCTTACTTTTTTTTTTTGCAGTATGGGAGAGTGAAGCTAAAGAGACGAAAGGCGAACCCACTGTAGCGCGCGCAACTCATTTGATGTTGAACATTTGCCCAAAAGAAGGTAGGCGAGGCGGATACCCTCCCCCAAAAAAGTGGAGAAGGTGAATCCACTGTGTTTGCACGCTAAGGGCGAAAACATAGAGAACGCCGATTTCGAATACTGACTCAGTAAGCGCCGATAGGTATAAACATTCCCTTAGGATTTTTTCCAACTTGCCCCACATAGAGCTGGCAGACTGCAGGCGGTTTTAAGCTCGGATCGGCGTTGTCGGCTTTATCGGAATCCAAACTACATTCTTATTTAGCCGAAAAACTGGGAATGGGGCCTCGCTGTCAACTCACGACCCCAGTGCTTTCTTGTGGTATCTCAATTTTTTTAACAGTGAAAATGTGATTTCTTCTTTAGCTGACTCTTTGTATTTGTTATGAACTGTTTTCACTGTTATTAAAAATGGAGATGCAACAAGAAAGCGCTGAGGTCGCGAACTCTCAATGCCGTCTCGCCGTCGCCAACTCGGGTTATGAACTGTTTTCACTGTTATTAAAAAGGGTGATCTTATTTAGGCCACATATGGCCTAAATAAGCTAAACCCCCCTCCCTTACCTTATTTGGACCACAGGTGGCCTAAATAAGCTAAACCCCCCTCCCTTACCTTATTTAGGCCACACCTGTGGCCTAAATAAGCTAAACCCCCCTCCCTTACTTTATTTAGGCCACATATGTAGTCGAAATAACCAAACCAATGTAAAACATTGTTTTCTTTACAAGTTACGTTATTATCTCTTTAAAACTCTTCACATCCATTTTCCTTCACAGCCGTATCGTACATGACATGTGATGTAGAATCAATTTAAGGTCCTTGGAAAGGTGACCAGAAAATAACAAAATTATTTTATGATCTTCACTTGCACTTGCAATTTTTTGGACAAATTAAAGTCTACCTAATTATATTTTTTCCCCTCATTTTTCTTCACTATAAATGACAACTGGCATGTATTGTTTTC